ATTCTAAGTGCTGGGGAGGGGGGGGTTCAGTGATGACCAACACAGATGATGCTCAGTCTGCCCTCGTGAAGCCTACGGTCCACAGGGATGGCACATCACCAAATATGTGCTTATGGCAGCGTGGCAAGCCCCGTGGTTCAGGTTCTAGATCAGGGTCCTCTGGACTTTCAGGGAAGGGGAGAGGAGGAAACCCTTGAGCCCCAGGCTGAGGGCTAGGGGCTACTGGAAGTGACCTGCCAGCTGAGCCATGAAGGAGGCATGGGAACGAACCCAGAGGAGAGGTTTCCAAGTAGAGGGAACAGCATGACTAGTGTAGGGAACAGTAAGAAGGGGGAGAGTGAGAAGTCCTGGAAACAAACAGATGACACAGATATTAGGAGAGAGCAGACACTGGGGCGGCCTCCACAGAGAGCCTCTGACGCTGGCTTCACCTGCAGAGTGTTTGCCGGGGAGGTTCTTTTGCATCAATGCGCCCTCGTTGTGGTTGGTCTTTGAGGTGTCACCTCCCTGCCCCACCCATATTCCCAAAAGAGTTTGGACTCTGGGGTAAGACCTTAGTGTCACTCCTGGCCCTCACCTTCAGCAAGTCACTTAACCTCTCTGAGCCTCAGTTTCCTCATCTGTAAAATGGGACTAATAACAATACTTACAACACAGGGCTATTGTGAGAAACAATTGTGCCCTGGTACCAACTCCTGGCATAGCCTAAGGTCCTAATAAGTAAAACCTGTAGCTCTGTGTGATTGCCCAGGATGTGGTAAGTGTCAAAGCTCAGCGATGGCACGTGGGGGGCTCAGTGCACTATTCCATTTACTTTTGAGTATTTTTGAAATTATTATGACAAAATTTATCTTTAAAAACCACCATTCACGCTGTTTACTGCAGTTGCCACTCTGATCCATGCTTCTTTGGGGAGTGCTCCTGTTTGCTGAAGGAAATTAGCACATGGCAGTAACAGGACCCAAACATTCCTCCAAAATTCCTCATTTCCACCTGCCAGCTTTCCCCTCCGCAGTGTTCTGGGGGCCCTGGGGAGACCCCGTCCCCCGCCCGGCCCAGCCAATTCCATGAGTTGGTTTCAACGCCAACATCAGAGCTTCAAAATCAGGTATAAGAAAGAAGTATTGAGGGGCCAGCCCCGTAGCAGAGTGGTTAAGTTCTCACATTCCACTTCGGCGGCCAGGGTTTCACGGGTTCGAATCCTGGGCACGGACATGGCATGGTTCATCAAGCCATTCTGAGGTGGCATCCCACATGCCACAATTAGAAATACACAACTATGTACCGGGGGCTTTGGGGAGAAAAAAGAAAAATAAAATCTTTAAAAAAAAAGAAAGACCTATTGAAACTTACATTTTTAAAATTTCTAATCTAAAAAATAGAAAGAAAATCAAGCGTTACTAATACTGAAATATGGATTGAAACTGTGCACTCAAAGAATGAAAGTGCACAGCCTTACCTGTGACTCATAAAAGAACATATTTTCTTGCCTAAGATTCTGGAAAAATGGCAAGTTGAAGGGAAGTACATGGATTAACGCTTGTTTCTTTTTGTTCCACCCGAGGAGCCCTGTCTCCAAACTTGGTTCTCCAGCTGGAACACAGATACTGATTTGAATGTGCAGATCCTTTAATGAATATAAATACAAAAAGATAGACATTTTTTTAAAGTATGGATTGGCAGTAGTATACATAAATCATTGATAAGTCAAATACATATATTGGATGTGAGTGCTCAAAAAAGGTTTCTCCCATAGGACTGCATGATCAATGAAGTTTGGAGCAACCAGTCTCCACAATGTGGCCCCTGCATAGTGTCATCATAGCTCCACGCAGAGCGGGGCCTGGATGTTTTGTCTTGGGTGCCCAAGAGAGCCACCTGCTCACACAGATAACAAGAAAATGTAGCAGAAGGCATAACTTCCATCTTAATTTCCAGGGCCAGGTGTGTATCTCATGCACTCAGGTGGTCCTGAAAATAATTAGTCAACATAGATGTGGACTCTGGCAGTGAAGAAAGTGCCCTCTCGCCAATCATGGACAGCCATGCTCACTTCAGCTAAATTCTCTGCACCTACAAAGTGCCCCCTTTCCCACCACCAAGAGGAAGAAATGAGAGCCAGTACAGGAGGAGACAGTCAGTGGGCCCCAAGGAGAAGGCATTGGGGGAGGGGATGCTGATGGAGACAGACAGGTCCGAATGGAGCATTTGGAGCGTGTGACCTAAGGGTCCCACTGGGCCATCAACACTGACCCCAATGCCAGGATGCTCAGCTAAGTTCCTCAGGAGTGGGAGCCTCTGTCTGGGGTGCTCTCTCAGGACCAGCCCTGCGTCCCTGGTCCAGCCTCTTCCCATCTGGCCGTTTGGAGGAGCTGAGGCTCCCTAGAGCAGAGGAAGGGCTAGGAAGTGAGTCACACCCTTTTGCTCTCCTCTCAAAGGCTTGGGGACCTGGGAGGCGGATGTGCCCCATCTGTGCAGTCAGGCAGGGGCCCGGCCTGTAGGTCTGAGTTCAAGTTCCAGCTCAGTCTCTGACAAGCTCGGTGGACTTGGGCCAGTCTAGGACCTCTCTGTGCTATATTCCCCACTTCCCAAATGGGCACAAGAATGCCTTTCCTATTTACTGGGAGATGCCAGCATGATAATCCCAACCTAAGAACACAGTTAGCAAATGGACCTAAAGCAATTAGGAAGTTAAAAGAACACTTTATAACTATGATTGGTAGTAATTCTCTACTCAACTAGAGACAAGGACAAGTGTCTGGGCAGATGGTTTCTTGCATTCCACATGCACCCCAAGACCGATGGCACACAAAGGTGGTGTAGGGAGGCCTAGTCTCCCCATCCGCCCCTGCCCCTTTCTCAGGGAGTCCTCGAGAGAGATCATAGTAGGATCATGGACCTCAGTGGGTCATGAGGGGCCTGCCTGGGACATGGAGAGTGCGCAGCCGCAGAGAGGTCGCTCCTGAGCGGGCAAGCTCCTATCACCGGCCCTGCCTCCTGCCTGCCGCCTCATCAATCTATCATCCTGTTAGCAGCTGACACCTCTGGCAGCACCTCCCGGCAGCCCGGGCATTAGAATTGCAAGAAGCCCGGTTGCACCGGGGAATACAGATGGAGGAATCTCAGATTCAAATTCGTCTAAGTATTGTGAACAGCCAGACCCGGGCAAGGCGTTTCTACTGCCCTTCCACCAAAGAGGAGTGGTGGGGCTTTTGTTAGAAGTACAAATTGCTTCTTAATGCAGAGGATAAAGCTGGGCTCCAGCACCTCCTTAGAAATTCCTCCCGTTCCCAGGAAAGCCACCGCTGCATGTCAATTTTAATTTTTGAAATTTAAACCAAGGGCTTTGTGTCTAAGCTCCATCTCATCGGAGGAAGGGGAGGAATAAGTCAAAAAGGATTAGGGGCCTGCTGGGGATTGCAGATCCATAGCAATTAGATTTCATTTGGGTCTCAGACATTTGGTTTTAATCGCATTTCTGGATGATACAATCGACAAGGCATCAGAAATTGATACGTGTGCAACCGTAGATGGGGCCCGACACTGCCCTTCCCGGTTCCTGGGCTCAGCTGGGTTTGGGCTCCACAATCAGCAAGGGTGGGGTAGGTGGAGAATTGGGACTCAGTTTGTGTCTAGAACTGGGGGGACGGTGGCTTGTAAATATATATTCATTTTCCCCCTAGGTCTCTTTGAGCACTTTACACCTAGACTCAAAGCAAATGCAGTCACTGCTAATATTCAAGTGAATGACAATAAAACATTATTCAAACAAAGTAAGAGCACACAGAGGAACAGTGACAGCTATAGGACTCTAGGCGGGGGCTACAATTGTCTTTTAAATGAGAGTCACAGCTTTCAGCACCCTCCAGGAGCTAAAGTCGAGCACAATGCTATTTGGGGGCAGACATACAGCTATGAACACTGTCACCCCCCACAGTGACAGGGACCTATGAAGACGTGTGTGTGTGCACGTGTGCAACATGGATTAGTGATGACAACCACAATATTATATCCACATGGTTTGTGTGCGTGTATTTCCAGTCTTACACACAGACACACTCTGGGTTTGCCTCCACATACACTACATGTCTCTTCAAACAACTGGTCAAAATGAGCGCAGTAGGTAGTAACAGGTTGCTAACTGGTTATTTTGTAGATAACTTACTGTTTATTGGAAATCAATGATGCAACAGCAAAACAAAAAAGTAAAAAAAAAAGGCAAAACCACGTGGGGTGCCTTCCTAACCTGGGTGTGTGGAACTCCCAGTGGAAGTGAATAGAGGGGACCGAGCAAACACCTTGGGGTTCAGAGCCGGTGCCCCACACCGCCGTGCAAACGGGAAGGGAAGACTCCAGAAACGGGCATCCCTCTCCGAGGGAGAGTGTCTACCTCCCCGACCACACAGTTCTGGGTGCATTCAGGGAGCTGGAGGACCCACAGATTGGCCTCGGTTACCAGCCCCTTTGAGAGATGCGGCCCTGGCTGGTGTGTGGGTACCAGACACATGCTGAGTACCCTGTGTGCCTGAGTGGGGGTGTTTCTCCCGGGGACTTCCTGCACTTCCTTCTCTGGGCAAACATCTCAGTGATCACCTGCTGGCAGGTGCCTCGTTCATGCCTCCCATTTTGCAGAAATGCCTCCTCTTTCCCTTCCTGTTGCAGAAGCTCCTGCCCTTTGACCTCCACCCACAAAGCTGGCAGCCTTAGAGATCCAGCCGTCCTCTGGTCCCGTCCTGTCAGCCTCTACCTCTCTCAGCACCCTCCTCTGGGCCCCTCCTGTTCATGGCTGCAGCCCAGGGGAGGACTCCTCCCTCAAAGGGTAGGACACCGCTACCCCATCTCCCCATGTCTTTTCACCCACCCCAGGCGGCAGGGACAAGGCAGTGGCTGGCAAGTAGGGCATAGATGGGGCTGTTTAGGGTCCAGTTAAGGTCATCACACCAAGGTGAGCATCTGGAGGTGGGGTCCTGGGGCCACGCTGACAGAGACATCGGAGCCTATAGTCTAAAAACATAATTTAATGCATCGCGGTGGGTCTGAGTTGGGAGTGTGGTGGAGAGGCGAATTTTCCGTTTGCTGGGATTCTGCTGCGGGAGGATTTGTGGCTGACAGGGAAATTTGCACAAGTATTTTGGGTCACAAAGAAGGACGCCCCAGGGAGCTTGTGCTCACTTTGGCCTACCTCGAGGGCCAGGTTGGCCAGGGCGGGGAGCCCTCGTCCCAGGGCACTTAGAGGAGGAGGGGGACTGGAGGAGGGCAGGCTCCTGCCCCGCCTGTCCAGTCCAGTCAGGTTTGCAAAGTCTGCGCTGCTGCTGCTGCCACTGCCACTGGGGCCGCAGGGGTTCAGGTTCACGCTCATCTTGCCACTTGGTCTCCCCCTCTCCCTCCCCGGGTTGGGGACAGGGACCAGGAGCACAGCCTGGAGCGTGATGAGTCGCAGACACACCGAGGTTGGGAGCAAAACAGGGAGGACAGCAGGGATGTGTCTTTTCCAACGATGTCAGGAAGTGTCATGAAGCGAGAGCGGTCCTCGCCAGGGAACAGCGCGCCCCCAGGGGCATAGGGCGGCCTAAAGCCACCCCACCTCGCGCTCCCTGTGCCCCTAATCCGGGTACAGAAGAAAGCCGGAGAACGTGCTGTACTTGTTGTTATTGCCTCCATGCGCCTTCCCGCCGTCCAACTTCACGTACACCTCGTCTCCCGAATCGAGGTGCAGCACCACGCTGTTACTGGCGTAGTCGTAGTTCTGGTCAGCGTCCTGCGCGATGGCGCTGGCCCGGACCTAAGGGCAAGCGGCCACAGCGGGTGGGCCAGGGCCCCTCTACCTGGGCCCCTGCCCGGCCCCCACATGGCGCGCTCCCTGGCCGGCCTTCTGCCCGCGGCTTCAGGGCCCACGCTCCCACCCAAACTCCACGCTCTCTCCAACTTCGCCAACTCCTTCCCGGTCCCCTTCTCTCCGCAGCCGGCAAGTCCGGGAAGGAGGGAGAGAGCAGGCTTCATAGACACTGACCCAGAGGGGAAGGGCGGGAACCAGGGGCCAGGACTGAGAGGAAAGGAGACTGGGTGGCAAAGGGGCGACCGGGGCGCACAGGGGGAGCTATAGAAGAATGAGGTTTCCGAGGAGCCCACGGGGCTGCAGGAGGGTTTGCAAGTAACCAGAGAGTGAAGTTTGGGTAGCAGGATCCCTGGGACCTTGGGCACCACCTCTGGCGCTTCATTCCTGTAAACGCGACCAGGGCGCATTGGGAAACAGGACGCTGTGGCGCGCTCCCTCCCGGGGATCTCTCCGGCGCTCGCGAGTAGGGAGAAAGGAAGCTAGTTTCCTAGGCGGTTCGGGCCGCGGGGTGGGGACGAAGGTCTGCGGGGATTTGCCGGAAGGGGTGGGGGTCGGGGGGTCACTGACCTGCCCATTCTTGCAGAGGTCCGCCCACATGCTGGTGCCGTCGCCGCCGCGCATAAGGATGTGATAGGTGAAGAAGTAGATGCCGCGCACCTGGCAGCTGAACTTGCCGGTAGTGGGGTCGTAGTGATTGCCGAGATTGGTGACCACGTCGTCGAACTTGAGCACCTCGTAGCCTTCGTGGGGGCTCTTCAGACCCACGTAGAAGGCGATCTTGGGACCGCTGAAGGCGGCGCTCAGCGCGCCGGTCACTTCGCCCTCAGAGTCGCCGCCGCCCCCGGTTCCGCCACCCACCACCCCGACACCGCCTGCAGCGCCCGCGGTCAGCTGCAGCCCTGGCAGCCCGGGCCGCCCCGAGTCGCCCTTCTCCCCCGGGGGACCCCTGGGTCCAGGCGGGCCCGGCTCTCCAGGAGGCCCCCGTGGCCCGGGCTTGCCGGGTCGCCCTGGATCGCCCTTGGGTCCCTGGATGAAAGGAGGCGGAGGGTTGGCGCTCAGGTCCTGCATGACTTCCAGGGCGGCAGTGCTGGGTCCTGGCGGCGGCGCCTTGGCGCCCGCGGGCCCTCCACCGGGTGCGGCGCTGTATGGGTCGCAGATCATGCGGCAGGTGCCCATCATTTCGTAGTGCGCTGCGCCGGGGGGCGCCGCCTGCAGCAGCAACGGCACGGCGATGAGCAGCCCCAACGCCATGGCAAGCAGCACGCCGACGGCCGCCAGGCAGGCGCGCCGCCGCCGCTGCCACAGCCGGGAGGCGACCGCCACCAGCTCCTCCTTGCCGCCCGGGGAGGTAATGGTGGGGCGGCGCGGGCGGCCCCGCTCCCCGCGCTCGGGGGCCGACTCCGCGGGTCCCGGCCGCGCCCCCGACGTGGCGACCCTCGGCTCCGGGCGCCCAACTACTTTAGCGAGAGGCGCCCCGGCCCAGGCGCCGCTGCCCACTGCGCTGGGGCTGCTCGGGAGAGCCACGGAGCTCGACGCGCATGGCGGGGGGCGCACAGGACAAGCCCGGCGCCCCACGGTCCAGGCGGCTGCCGGGGAGCTCCGGGTGCGTGTCCGGCGTCCGGCGCGGGCTCGGCGGCGCTGCCTCCTGCCCCGCTCGGCGGGGCTCGGCGGGGCTCGGCGCGCAGTGAGGGCGCCCGGGCTCCGCGGCGCGCTCTGCTCTGCTCTCCCGCTGCTCGCTGGCTCCCGCGCGGAGGGGGGACCCAGCTACCCTGACGTAAGGAGTCCGGGGCTGAGCGGCGGAGGCGGCGAGGCAGCGCGCGCTGCCATCACTCGGGAGACGGCGCCCTCATGTCATCAGCCTTCGGTCCTCCTCCTATCGAGCGGCGTCCTCGGCAGAGGCAGCAGAGGCGCGGTTCCTCGGGCGGCGCCTGGGAGCCACAAGTGGGTGCAGCGGGCGCAGCCCCGAGCCCTGGCGCCTCGGACACACCCACTCGCCGCCGCACTCACGCGCCTCCCATCCACCGCGCACAGACGCCCACGCGCGCACTCCCGGGCGCACGCTGGCACCTCCACATGACCGCGAAGGCGCCCGGAATCCTGATGCCAGCAAGGTCCTTGGGGATCACCTAATCCATCCTCCTGCCTGCAAGCGGGACCAGACTTTCACCCCGCAATTCGACGAGAGCCCCAGTCCCACGAGGCCCTGGAGCGAAGGACTTTCTGAAAGCCCTCCGGCGTTGCTTCTTCAGAATGAAATACACCTCTGTCCGGAAGGTCTTTCACACAGCTAACCTGAGGACTCCAGGCTGTTAAATAGGCTCCTAGGACCACCCCACCAACTCTTGGAATGACTCTGAAAAGCCCAAAGCCCCAATTCGAGTCTGTTAGTCTCAGCCCCTTTCTTCCACCCAGAAAATGGGGCTGTAGAAGTTCACTTAGATAGGCAGATCCTTGACACCCAGCACTTGGTGGTAACCTTGGCGCCCTAGGCTTCCACTCCTGGCTGCCACCATCAGGCAGATCCAGAACAGGTTCCTTTGGTCATCCCCAGCTGCCTCCTGCTGAGGTGGGTTCAGTTACTTTTAAAAATAGTCCAAAGCCATTCTGAACCAAAGTCTTGAATCAGCTGTGAAGCCAGATTTGGAGAAGTATCCATCTCCGGTTCAGCAGGTGAGGATAAAGGAAGGACGGGAAATGCCCCCGTGTACTGGAAGACCTCCAGCTCAGAAAGCAAAGGCCCCCTCTTTGGTTCTGCTCTCGCCCTGAGTGGCTGTGTGACTTTGGGCAGGTCATTCCCTTCTCTGAGACTCCCTTTTCCTCAAAAGCCAGCTCCTGCTCCAGCTCTCTCTGCCGTAGGGAACGCAGGAGGCCAGGCCTGGGAGGAGAGTCCAAGGGCTGACAGTGTCTGGTGGAGCCTCAGCATCTCTGCACCAACCGTGTGCCCTCCTGAGGTTATTGCTTGAAGGACCACGTTCATTTATCAGGTAGTGTGTTCTTGTGGGTGAGTCAAAAATCCATCTTGTTTCTCTCTGGTCGCTCTGGGTCATTTCCCCCACCCCACATTGCTCCAGCCTCTTCCTCATCAGTGTATTTCCCAGAGCATAGCAGAAGATCCGGCCCCTGGTAGGCCCTCAGCACATATTTGTGGAAAGGATGACCGAACCTAGCCTGAAGCAAACTTTCCCCGGGGGAAAAGGAACTCGTTTATTGGGCACCTACTATGATGGAGCAGGCGCTTTGCACATGCTTCTTCATTTACTCCTCCCAATAAGCCCTGCGGATTAACAATCATTTCCCATTATACAGATGAGAAGACAAAGGCTTTGAAAGTCTACGGGTGCTTGCCCAGTGTCCTCCACTTGGCAGAGCTAGAATCCTCCTCACACCCAGACCAGAGCTCTTTTTTTTCTTTTTTCTTTTGGTGAGGAAGATGTTGCCAATCTTCCTCTCTTTGCTTGAGAAAGATTATCCCTGAGCTAACATCTGTGCCAGTCTTCCTCTGTTTTGTATGTGGGATGCCACCACAGCATGGCCTGATGAGCAGTGTGTAGGTCTGTGCCTGGGATCTGAACCTGTGAGTCCCAGGCCACCGAATCAGAGCAGGCAACCATAATCCCTACACCACCAGGCCAGCCCCCAGACCAGAGGCTCTGAGAAGCTGGCAGGGAAGGCAACAGCACACTAGCTCCTGGCCACATTTTCCGCTGGTTAGCTGGGTCCTGGGAGCCCTCTCTTCCCATCCCCGGGGCCATCCCCGAACTAGTGAGCCACAGGGATTCCTGGAGCCACACAGCCTGCTCCCAGGCCTGACTCTGCAGCTTCCTGTTTGTGTGACCTTGAGCAAACTGCTTCCCCTTCTGAGCCTCAGTCTTCATGGGTGGAGAATGGGACTGACAAAAGTACCCGCTGCAGAGTTATGGAGAGATGAAACGAGTTGATTAATATAAAGGCCTGAGAGCAAGAGCTAGCTCAGGAAAGGTTAGCCATTATTACTAACTATTGATTCTTTAGATGTCCACCACCATCCCGATGGCCGCTAAGATGAGACGTGTGGGCGGTAACCAGGGTGAGGGAGGTGGGTTCATGATTTTAAAGAGAGAGAGACCCAAAGATCACCCCCACACTTTATCCTTCTCCAAAGCAGAGAAGGGGGCCAGCCCATCCCCCCGCATGCCCCTCAGACCACCCTGCTCTGGCTGTCTGCCCTCTATTGAGGCTGCCCGGAGTGTTCCTGGGCACCAGTTCCGCCTGGACAGACATTTTCCAGGCAGATACTCACTTGGTTTGAATTCCCCAGCCCTACAGACCGCCACCCCCCAAATCGCAGTGTTGCTGCCTCTGCAGGGTCTGGGCCGGGAGGAAGCGGGAGGGGCCATGCTGGAGACCCAGGCCTTCACCCTGGCAGACCTCGGGCAAAGCAACCTTCCCTGGGGAGCAGCGTTCCCGGGAGCCCCTGTGGCCTTGCAGGGAGGACGGCTTCCTCCCAAGAGCAGCCCTCCAGCACGGTGGGCGCAGGGAGAGCAGCAGCTGGAGCAGGTGGAGAGCAGGCAGCCTCCCTCCCAGACCACATGAGTCATGAGGCCCTTCTCTGCACTCCCTCCCTCCCTCCCACGGTGGCAGAGCCAGACAGAGTGGCCTGCTGGAGTGTATGACACACCTCCTCATCCGCCTGGCTTCTGCTCCCCCTGAGTGATCCGCGTCATCGGTGACTGTCTTCTCATTAATATTAATTATGACCATTGTTAGCATATTGCTTCCATTTAGACCATAGTTTCACATTTCAAGGCCCAGTTATGACTCAAATTTGCCCAAAATTGTGCTTAGTAATCCAACCTGCATTCCTTCCACCAACCTCCATTGACAACCTACTATGTGCCAACCAGTCACCTCCACCCTCTCAGTTCTCAAAGCCCCAGGATCTGTGACATATAGTTGACACTTGATCACACACTGTCTTGTCTGGTGCTCTAAGGGCCCCCGTCAGCAATGAGCCCCACTCTTCATTCATCTGCACTACAGTGACTTCAACGTGGGATGCCTGCCTCTGTTCATCTCTCTAGACTTATCCCTAATTATCCTTCAAATCCCAGCCAAGTGTCACTTCCTTGTCTGAAGTCTTCCCTGACCCATCCCACAAAGCATTCACAACTCCTGCCCTTGTGCCCTTGCAGTACCTTGATTGTACATGCCCTGCCGTCGTGTATCATATGACCAAACATTTATTTACTTGTCAGCTTCCCCCACCAGGCTGTGAGCTCCAGGAGGGCAGGAATCATGTCATTCATTTATTCATGCATTGTGTCATTCACTTGTTCTACAAGTATTTATTGACCCCTACTGTGTGCCCGGCACTGTGCTGCATGCTGAGTGTGCAGTAGTGAATGATACAGGCATGGTCCCTTCCACTCTAGGTGTCGTGCAAGGCTTCCTCAACTCTCTCCACCTCTTTCTACTTGTGTCAGTTGGGTTGGCATCTGAACAGCTGGTACCTGGCATGGCTCCTTGATGGCATGCCTTCATTGAATTACACCTGTGCCCCCAACAAGACTGTAAGCTGTTTAGAGACATCATCTTGATTACATTGGCCAATCTCCTGCCTCCATCCCCAAGGGGAAGGGCAGCAAGAGCTGAGGTCAGAGAGGTAGGAAGCGGTCACATCACATAAGGCCTTGAAGTCCGTGTCAGAAGGTGTGGATTTTATCTGAGTGCAATTGAGAGCCACTGAAGGACTTTAAGCAGGGGAGTGACGTGACACCATCTACATTTTGCAAAGATCACCCTGGCTGCTGTGTGGTGAAGGGATGTGGGAGAGGGAGCAGAAATGAGGAAACCAGCTTGGAGTCTATTGCATAATCCAGGCCAGATGTAAGGGTGACTTGGTGTCAGATAGTGGAAGTAGGGGAATTCCAGATGTATTTTGAACATGGAATCCATGGGTCTTGCTGACGGATTGGAGATGGAAGTTAAGAGGGGAGAAGGAAGAGGAAGAAAAATCAGGGCTAACTCCTAAGATATGGCTTAAGCACCAAGGTGAACAAACATGAGAAGGGGGATTATTGGGGAAGAACAACCTATGGTGGGAGTTAGGAGGTGGGGGTGGAAGGCGGGGGAATCGTGAGCTCAGTTTGGTAAATGTTAAGTTTGAGATGCCAGTGAAATATCTGAATGAAGACACCACGTGGGCAGTGGACATGCATCTAGTCCTCAGAGGTGAGGTCAAAAATGGAGAAATATGCCATATTCCTCAGGATACAGATGATATTTGTAGCCTTGGGAATGGAGAATGGAGAGAGGGAGCACTCAGCCTCATGATGAACAGCCCCTCCAGCCCCGGCACTTAGAAGCTGGGTAGAGGAAAGAGGGAAGTCTGCCACAGAGACTGAGAAGCAGCAGCCAGAGTGAGGAAGAAAGCTAGGAGGGTGGCTTACAAAGGAGAGCATTTCCAGAGGGAAGATGGGAGCAGTTATTTGGAAAGCTGCAAAGAGATGGACTTAGATGAGGACAAAAAGGTACCCAATGGGTACGGCAACATAAAAGTCACTGGGGACTGTGCAGAGATAATGTTGTGTGCTCATAAAACCAT